AGCTTTTCCCCCAAATTAAAGTTTTCTAATCTAAAAGGAATCATTTTCTTTTTAAAAAAGAATTTTATTCATTGTGACGTTTGCAAACATGCATACAGTATACTCCAATGACCTCAGCCAATCTATTACACTCTCTTCCAAACTGCTTCTTACAACAATTCCAACAGGTTTCATTGTTTTGTTTTGTTTTTCTGGTCGTGGGGCCTGAACTCTGGGCCTGGGCACTGTCCCTCAGCTCTTCAGCTCAAGGCTAGTGCTCTACCACTTGAGTCACAGCGCCACTTCTGGTTTTCTGAGTGACTTATTGGAAATAAGAGTCTCACAGACTTTCCTGCCCTGGCTGGCTTTGAACCATGATCCTCAGATCTCAGCCTCCTCCGTAGCTAGGATTACAGGCATGAGCCACCAGCACTCAGCTCATTGTTCTGTTTCTGATCAAGGTACTTCGACCAGAATCACCTTCATTTGCCCTCTACATTCTGCCCATAACTTAAAGATGATCTTTCTAATGGCAACAATAGTGTGTGTGTGTGTGTGTGTGTGTGTGTGTGTGTACACACATGCGCATTCCCTTTATCTAGTTTAGCTCCAATCTGCTTTTGCTCCTAGTTTGCTTTTGAATCTAAGGATTCTAGTTGTCTTTCAGTCCAGACTTGACAGAAGGAAGGTTAAAAATTGAATGAGAAAGCGCATTGGGCACTCACTCTGAGCCAGCAGAGCTCTTAGGCCTGGAATGTGCAGGCCTGTGAGATGTCTACCACACAGGATACTACTCCTCTTCCACAGTCCCCAGGCCTGTCCTGTCCTGTCTCTAGCTGCATCCTCAAAGATCTCTCAGGAAATACACAATCCATTTCCTAATCCCTGTAATCCAAAGTTTGTTTTGGAGCCATGGTCCTTTTCAAATTTTTTTTTTAATTAATGTGATAAACTCTCATTGCAATTTGTTCTCAATTCAGAAGCACAGGCAATGCTGTGTGATTCTAAGTCATGGGCAGCCACCTTTCTTGTGTCCTTCACTAGCATGTGCCCGCTGCTGAGAAAACGAAAAGCAAGGCAAAAGTAGCTGAGTAGCATGGAAAGCTGGCGAGCATGCCAAAGCTTGTCTTTCTGGAAAGAGGCTGCAAGAGAGAAGGATCAGTGAGGAAGTGCTCTAGATTAGGTTGCACAATCTCTTAGCGGGGGTATAGTGTGACTGAGCAAAAAGGAAGAGTTTGACCATATGCCCTGTGTACATTTCCTTCCCCCCTGGTCCTGAATAAATAGATGTTCTTTTCTAGAGCAGTTTTAGGTTTGCAGCAAAAATGGGAGAAAGATACAGAGATTTCTTGTGTATTCCCTAGCTCTACCCAGGCCTTCAATGCCAAAAGAGAAGTATTTTCCCCTTTTCTTTTGTTTCATTTATGCTATTGAAAATGACAAAGAGGGCAGAGGAAATCTTCAAAACAAAACAAAGCACAAATAAAATCTGGTTGAGTTGCCCAGGAAAATACTTGTCCCACAGTGACACATTGTCCCAATGAATGCAGCGACGATGCCACATCATTATTACCAAAAAGCCTATAGTTGACATTATAGTTCCTATAGGTATTGCACCTGCTATAAGTTTGGACATATAGGTACCACGTATTCACCACTATCGAATCATACAGAGTAATATCACCGTCCCTATCGACAAATCCCTATACCACGTACCCCTGGCATGAGAAATGAGGATTACCTAGTAGCACCATTGACCCATAGACTTATGAAAGTAGAAAAGGAAAACTGGTAATGGGTTCTGAAGAAATTGATGTACGATGTGAAAACATTTTAGAAAGATGAGTGCTGATACATGCTATATTGTGTGTGTATATATATAGATGCATACACACATGTATACACCAATAGATGTGTATGTATACACATATATGTATACATGCATATGTATACAGGTATACATATATGCATCTGTATGTGTATACACATATATGGACACATATATGTAATGCATACGTAGATGTATATGTGTATATACACACATGTCTATGTGTATGTGTATGTATATATGTGTGTACGATATGCTTATATATACACACACATCACTTCTCCTGTCCTATTTCCTTCCTAATTAAAAAAAAAACTTGAAAAATTAACTAAAACTTCCAAGAAGGGCTCTCGGGTGATCACAGGATGAAGGTGAGGAAGGTGAGTCTCTGAGGCAGAGGTTTGGAATTTGAATGGCACTCATTTCTTTTCTCCATTTTTCCTTCCTGTCTTTTTCTGTGTTCTTTAAAGCACAGCCAGATCATTTAGATCTAAAATAAAAATACCAAATTCAGCCTTTGTGAAGCAGACAGAAAAATCACAGGTTTGGTATCATTTTATGGCAATGAAAATCAAGGCTCAGAAGCTGAACGGATTCAAAACAAAATTCCCTTGACAACTTCTGTCATGTCTCTCGCTCCCCCTCTCTGTGTAAGGCAGTTAAATACTGTAGACTACATAATTATTTTACCCTGTAAACATGATAGAATTGCAGGCTTGGTAGGGGGAGGGGGTAAAAAGTACATGGTTACCTGTAATTATAGTCTTGCTTGAGTTTGATTTTATAGGCAGGCAAAACTCAGGCTGGATTTAAGCCACACAGAAAGGCACAATGCAATGGAAATCTTCTTTTTCCTTCTGACTCCAGTGGCTGTCATTATTTCATTCCAATGATCTCCCTGAAAGACAATCTTTGTATTATGGTCATTCTCCAGATTGTATGTTGGGCTCATTGTGCCATGGATCATAGACTGTTTACCAAAGCAGCTTGAGATGATCATTCTGTTTCTCTTTGATTCCTGCATCCCCTACTCTGTATAGATAAGAGGGTTTGTCAGAGAGGCTGGACTGGTCAGGATGGTAAATCCTGCCAAATACCTGGTGTGTTCAGTTCATAGTGTGAGGGGTTCAAATTAGATGTCTGATAGGCATAGATAAAGGAATTGTTTTATTTCACTTTTAGATTTCCACTTTTATTTCTTTTATTTTTTTTAGTGCCAGTACTGGGACTTGACCTCAGGGACTGGACACTGTACCTTGGCTTTTTTGCTCAAGGTTGGTTGGCACTTTACCATTTGAGCCACAGCTCTACTTCTGGTTTTCTGGTAGTTAATTGGAGGTAAAAGCCTTACGGACTTTCCTTCCTAGGCTGGCTTTGAACCTCAATCCTCAGATTTCAGTCTCCTGAGTAGATAGAATTACAAGTGAGCTCCCAGCTCCAAGTTTAGATTTCTATTTTTAATGTAGGTATGCTCAGACTCACAGAATGTGTTTTGTCTTACCCTGAGGATAAAAGCTTTGGGAACATTTGAGACCGCATCCAGGTTGGAAGAGCCGGCGGGGGTCGGCCTGCGTGTCTGGTGACGTCTTTCACAGTTAGTTCCAGCGACAGCAGGCTGCACGGAGGAGGAATTTGGCCGGCTAATAAAGATGAGCTGGACTTGGGTATTTTATGAGTGTGAGGCTCCCGTCTTCCCTGGCATCAGGCCACTTTTAACTAACTCTTACGTGCCTTGAGACCAGAAACTAAGTATGGGCCTGCCTGATTGGCGGGTCACCTCCGTCCACAGACAGCACAGCCTGAGTCATGGTTTTCTTGCCATTTTACAGCTGCTGGAGGAAGGTGTAATTGGGCGAGGGCACTGCGAAGCCTGTTCTGCCATTACTTTTTGATCTGCCTCGTGTGTGTGTGCGTGTTTGCATGTGTATGTGCGCTGGCGCGTGTGTGTGCGTGCGCGTGTGCATGTGTATGTGCGTGTGCGCGCATGTGTGTGTGCGCGCGCGCGTGCTTGTGTATGTGCGTGCGCGCGCATGTGTGTGCGCGCGCGTGTGCATGTGTGTGTGCGTGCGCGCGCATGTGTGTGTGTGCGCGCGTGTGCATGTGTATGTGCGTGCGCGCGCATGTGTGTGTGCGCGCGTGTGGGTGCATGTGTATGTGCGTGTGTGCGCGCGCGCGTGTGTGTGTGTGTGCGCGCGTGTATGTGCGCGCAGTACACGCACTCGGTCCTGTTGTGAGCTATCCCTCTTTCCAAGGCCCGAGAACCTGGTCTAGAGCAAAGCGGGTGATTCTGTTTTTGCCTCCGAGTGCAATGTCCTACTTTCAGGGTGGTGCTGGGGGCTTCGTGGAGGAATTCACTGGTAGCCCAAATCCACAGGGGTGTAATTGTACGGCCTTGCGTGTACCCAGGATGGACTCAAATCCGTGCAATTACGCCTTAACATGAAGGAGCCAGACGCGGGGGTCCCGCCGCGGGGCAGGAGCTCCGGGGCCGCCCACCGCGGAGCCCCGGTCTGCGGGGAGCGGGTTCCGGGGCGGTGAGCCGCGGCGGGGGCTGAGACCGCGGCTGGCTGCAGGCGGGGACGGCGCGGGCTGGAGGACCCGGGGAGGTCGATGCCCCGCCGGACACAGCCGGCCGCACGCGGCCCCGGGCCCAGCCCGCTTCCTAGCGTCCCAGACGGCCTCACGCCGGCAGCCACAGTGGCTGCTGCGTGAGGGCGCAGCGGGATCGGGCGCAGCGCTCAGCATTGGCTGCGCCGCGGGTCCCCGGCTCGCACGAGGCTGCCCTCGCGGCCCCGTTTTCCCCGCGTCTCACGGGGACCGGCACAGGCCCCCCACGAACGCCCGGGGGCGGGGCCCGAGGAGGGGGTGGGCGTGGCCTCTGGGAGCAGCCCTGGTATTGGCCGTGAGGCCTGGGGGCGGGGCCCACGCTGGAGAAAACAGGCGCGCCGCCGCGGGCAGTCCCATCGCCGAGCCCGAGCTGCCCGGTCGCTGCACCGCGTCCCTGGTCGCCTCACTTTTATAGTCTTTATCTTCACTTTGGCGCGCCGCACCCCGGCCTTCCCGCGCCTCCGGCCCCGCACGTCCGGTCCCGCGTGGTGCAGCCCGGCCGCTGCGGCGATGCGCCTCATCCAGAACAT